CCCCCCCTGCTGGGGGGGGGACCCCCGCGGCTTTGATCACATTTGGTTGCAAAAAGGTGGAGGAGACTCTCCCAGCAGTTTGGAAACACTAAAGGTTTTTCTCCTCTGGCAAAAGGAGACACTCTCCTTATTTCTTACCTCTTAACCCTGTAATGCCAAATGTATCATATTTGATACGTACGGTTTCTGAAATGTTTTGTTTCTGACACCTTTTGCATAATTTGATGGTAAAAACTTTGCTCAAAATCCTATTGTACACAATCAGATACACCTGATAACAGGGGGCAGAAGACTACACAAAAAATAATCTGGACTTATCGCATAGTAATGAATTATTAATATCAAAAATGTATTTCTGTTTTTTATTTTTACATATTTAGTTAAAAGGCCAAATAAAGAATTCAAACAAAAAAAAAGTAATTTTCTGTTTTGTTTTATTCTTGGATCGGGCTTTAAAGGGTTCAATTTCAGTCCCTCCATCCTGCAATCGTAGTTTCGACAAATCTCAGTAGAGACCAAGACTTACAGATATAGCTGAAGATAAACGAGGTTGTTAGGGAAATAAATATATGTATAATCACTTTCTTAACCCTGTAACGCCAAATGTATCATATCTGATTCATACGGTTTCTGAAATGTTTTGCGTCTGACACCTTTTGCTTAATTTAATAGTAAAAACTTTGCTCTAAATCCTATTGTTTTTCTGTTATCAGATACACCTGATAACAGAAAAAAAAATTTATCTTGACTTATCGCATAGTAATAAATTGTTAATATCAAAAATGTATTTCTGTTTTTTCTTTTTTTACATATTTTGTTAAAAGGCCAAATAAATCAGAAATACTTTAATCAGAAATACTTTAATAACCCCAGAGGGAAATTATTCCCTTGAGTATTTTATTGGATACTTCAAACCAATAAAAAAAGTAATTTTCTGTTTTGTTTTATTCTTGGATCAGGCTTTAAAGTGTTAAAAAAAACAACCTTCCTCTGTGATGGAAGTTGGGGGGGTGACTTTTTCTGTGGGTTTCAGTTCTGCTGAAGAGGGGAAATGATGAACAATTAGCTCCTGGGTTTGAACCCGGAGATATCGGCGGGGAAGTGAAGTGTTTCAAGGCCGGAGCTCCAGATAATGGGCGGCGGGTTAGAAACGATCCAATATGGCTGATGCATCAGCTCAGCCTCCCCCATTCTTACCCCCCCCCCCCCCCCCCCCCCCCCCCCCCCCCCCCCCCCACC